ACACAACATGGCGACAATTTGAATGTGTGGATAACACCGTGCGAATTGCACGCACGCACACACGCACATTCGATAATTAGATGAAGTCGATAATTTTTTTCTAAGACAAAAAACTGATTCGACTCTTCTGATTCACTCTATATATGTATAATATATATAAAGTATACATATAAAAAAATATATTTTTTTTATAATAATATAAAAAAATATGTCTTTTTTTATACAGGAGATGATAAAGTAGAAAAATGTAATGTTACTAAGGTCATTTTAGTCAGTGGAAAACACTATTATGCACTTAATAACTATCGAAAAACTTCTGGAGACAAGAATGTAGCTATTATTAGACTAGAAAGTTTATGTCCTTTTCCTGTTCATGAATTATTAGAAGAAATTGCAAAATATAAACATGCGAAGAGTAAGTAGAAATATGTGATATTTTACTGATAGAATCAAATATAAAATATTATATTAGGAGTGTGATTTAATTTTGAAGGTTTTTTTTTCTCGAAAACTGATTTATTTAAACAAGATAATGAACGAATACCGTAATCAAAAATTTTCCTTCGCTTTGTATAACTTTCCCATCTTTCTTCAGCTGCAGTTTTTTTCTGATTAAAAAACAAAAGCAACGCACCATGTCGAAAATGCTCTTTATGATTATTTAGGAAGCTCCATTTTTAAAATGGTAATACAATGTTTACTGTGTTTATTGTTAGTAAATGATTAAATATTATGAAATAATAGTAAAGCATTAAGAAACAATAGTTGCGATTGGAGTGTCTTCGATAATACTGACATTAGTGTCATCTCTTGCAAAATCTAAATCACTCCTAATACAAAAAGAAGAGATGATATCATTGATATAAAAAACATGAACCATTTCTAAATAAATATTTCTATTTTCAGCTTTTATTTGGAGCCAAGAAGAACCACGAAATATGGGCGCATGGAGTTTTATTAAACCACGTTTTGAAAATTTATGTGGACGACAGGTAAGTAATATTAAATTATAAAAATTAACTATTATGTAGATTTGTGTGATGGTACTTTTCTCGTCGGAATTCGCTTGCTGGAGCCAAGATTTGAGAAAGCGTGAGGCACCAAATTGTTTTACAGAAAAATATCTTTATTGATATCACGCTCGTTAGTTGACAAATTTTACTAAAGAATCATCTAAAACGAATGAGTATAACAAGCAGAGCTAATGACAATACTAACATTGACATTCATTTATTTTAATTTAATTTTTTATGTAAAAAATGAAATTAATAAGTGTATATTGTCATTTACTTTAATATAATAACTATCATTTTCAGTTGAGATATTGTGGTCGAGAATCGATGGCATCACCAGCTGTTGGAGATGGACAAATGCATCAACGAGAAGCTAATGAAGTTATTATTAAACCATTTACATTAAAATAAATATCAAAATATGTTACTTTATTTTAATAAAATCACAACATATTTTATTGTAAGTACTGTAACTAAGTAAACATTCAAATATATTTACTCTAAAATATATATATACATACACACAAAATATATGTATACATAAAAATATTTACCTTAGATGTTCATTAATTTTGATAGAAGGAAATGTTACAAAAGTACAAAAAATTATGGACATCACTTTTACTTTTATTTAGCAATATACATTTCAGAAGCTAGAATTAAATATATACAGCGTCAAAAAGTGTCCTTCTTATTTGAAATAATTTCAAATATTGATATAATTTCAATATTTGAATTTCATTTAATCTTTATTTTTATAATACTTGAATTTCTTACAAGAATCAAATAATAACTTATTAAAAAGAGTGGAATTAATGATAATATTTAATCTTGCACATTCGTTGTTTTTTTTAACTTATAAGAAGCAATAACATAAATTGACGTTCATAAATAGATGTTTATAAATTTATAAATTAATTATATATTTTACTTTAGCGTTCCAATAATAATAATCTATAATTAATATCTATTTTAAATAAAATTTTCTTCTTTTAATGTTTTTCAAATGACAGTGTTAATAAAAAGATAATCTATTCATTCTAAAGAAAAACCACTAAATAGCATTATTCAAGCAACATCAGTTAATTATCACTTTTATCTTCTACTTTCAATCTTTCGTGTTCTCTTTGCATGAGAGCTCGCAATTCATCCTAAAATTATGACTTACATTTAATTTTTACTACAAAAATTTAAGTTCGATTTTAATACTTATTAAACATACATTATTAATTCACATTCTGAAACATGCATAAAATAATATAAACAATAGGAATAAAAATGTTTTACCCCCCAGCCAAGTTTATCCGCTAGTAGTTGACAACCTGTGTCACAATCACCCAACCAAGCTACATCGCGTCCTCCATGTGCGCTCTTGATATCAAATACCAAACCCTGCCGTAATCCTAAGAAACGTGATAGACGGTCTTGCGTACCTACTTTCTCATTATTGATGAGTAAACGAGGACAAGTGTTTCGTACTCTTAAAAATAAAATTATTTTCGGAATTGCATATGTTTCTTTTCTAATCATTTTCGTAGAATTATTTTTAATATATACCTATCTATTAGCGATGCGAAAGGTTGCACTACTAAACTTGATCCCATGATAATTAAAAGATCAGCTTGTATGAAATCTCGATCAGCAAGTATTTGGAAGCGTTCGGGTAACGTTTCACCAAAAAAGATTATGTCTGGTTTTACAACACCTTCATTACATTCTTCACATTTTGGTATTATGCCTTCTATTATTTTTTCTATCATTTGAAATCAGGTGTGTAAGTATCAATTAATCGCTAATATCTTACTTGTTATAAAACTATCCAAAGACCAATGTTAATTAGGAATTGGAATGTTATATATATGTGTATATATACATATTGCGCGGGCGCGCGCGCGCGCACACACACACACACACACACACACACACACATACTTTATTTCTAATTAAAAAATTCAATCTTATGTTTAACTATAATAATAATGTTATATATTACTCTAAAGAGGCAATTTCAATTTGGAAATAGATTTGAACAGCATGCGTTATAAATTTTGTCATCAAAGTACAAATAAAAATATTAACAAAATATTTTAACAGAATATGATAGATTGATTGCAAAGATAAGTGGAATTTATTTTTCCTTTATTGATTTATTTGAACAATATAATCTATTCATATTATGCAGATAGAACACTAGTATACCAATCTGTCACAATAACAATCTGAACTTTGTTGACAAATAGTATATATATTGTTAATAATATATTGTTAATAGTATATTGTTAATATTTTGATAATATAATTTTTGGATGTTACAGAAAGATTTAAATAAATGTTATATGAGATCCAAAAATAAAGAAAATTAATGGGTAGAACCAAAAATTTCTTTTGGTAATTATTTACATTAAGGCCCACTAATAATCTTGACATAGTAGACTTCATGAGTGACCTCCAACAAATTTTAGCCATCGCTTGTTATTCTCATTAAAAAGTTATTATATATAAAAAAAATATGAAAAACGATGTCTCGTTTCTACTATATAAATGCAAACTTCTACTTAACATCAAGTTTGAAATAAAGGGGGAGGAACTTTTCAAATTAAAATTCAAATCAAATTAGATTACATAAAAATATATTTAACATGATATTTTCAGAGAGAGACTCTACTCCTTTTTTGCTTTTGTATTTACTTTGTAAAAAATATATGTATGTATATTCATGTTTGATAAACCTCAAATTGTTATATTTAATATTCAATATTATATTTAATACTTAATATACATTTGTTTTTATTTTATTTGTTAATAAATTAGGGAAACTTTGAAAGTTACTCAGAATCATGATTGATAACATATGTACATTGAAACTGAATTTTCTTTTCTATAATTAGCCAATATATATTTAATAGTATTCAGTTAATACTTTACCCCAAATTTAAAAAATTTTAATTAAAAATTTTTGCATATCTAAATAATACACAACATAACGCATGATGGACAGACTTTTATATTATATTACACTATTTTCATCCATTTATTTTAAATAAATCTAATTAATGCAAAAATATTATGCTATAAATATTATGGAAATATACCTTTCATCCACAGAAGTGTATAAGGCGCTCGGCACTTAAGACAATGACCAGTATGAAATGTTCCATGAGCTTCCACTAGTTTGTCAGATGATAATCCAGCTACACGTTCTAGCGTATCAATATTCTGTGTATAATGTCGCAACAACAAACCTTTCTCTGACAATAGACGAATAAAATAATGGCTTATAGTAGGTTTGAAGCCTTCTGGCAACAATTCCTTTGCGAGAGTGAAAAATGGTTCTGGATTCTTCATAAAAAAATCTAATTCGAAAATAGCTTGCGGATGGGGTAAATTATACTTATCTAATTTATGATAAAGTCCACTAGATGGAGACCGAAAATCTGGTATTCCAGCAGCTGTAAAAAAAGATATTTGTGTATATATTTGCCATTAATAATCCATACATATATATTATATGTTTTATGCTTTTTGATCAAAAAAATTTATCATAATAATTATAATCCTCATATCAAACAATATATATATCAGTGAGAAATACATATATATTTAACATTAAATAAAAAATTAATTAAAATATAAAATTATAAAATAATCTATTATAAAAAAGAGTTTTCCTAGTAAACATAGTAGTAATATATAATAATAATAATATATTTTATGGTTATGAAGATGATATATATCGCATCATTTTGAAGGTACTTC